CAGTCTTAATGAAGAGTTTGTTTCCTCAGACCACTCCAAGTCCAGCTGAACTTCTGTGCAGGTCTTCAGTGTGCTTCTAGATTAAGTGGAATTCAATCTGCCCATACTTTTTCATAGTTCAGATCTGTGTTTCTTTTTCCTAGATAAATTTTAATTTCATTGTATTATGCTGACGTGTTCAAATACCTAGTAGGAAGTGATCCAGCTCTTGATAAGATGGATTGATTGTATCTTTTTTGTTTCAGAGAAATCACTCAAACTGTTTGTAAGTAAACTTAAACCCCCCTAATAAACATCCCCCTACCAAAAAATCCCTACATTCCTATGAATTCCTTTTACCCACAACTGTTTGGTTTATCATCAGAGTGCAAGATGACATTTAGCTTCTGTGATCAAAAAAACATAATAAATAAATTTTTCTACTTTAGGGAATTTGGGGGGAAATGAGAACATTCTGTACGTGGCTTTCTAAAGGTTCATGTTTAAATAGGTAAGATCTGTGTGGTAGTCATGCATATGTATGTTTTATGAAAAGTCATCTTTACTATGTTTGCATTCCAAACAGAAAGGAGGAAAATGTAGTTTTATATACATGCAAAGTATCCTATTTTTATCTGTTATTTTTTATCTGTTATTGTTAGTATTATTCTTACTATAGCCCAAGACAGTCTGAAACAGGCACTTCTCTCAGGCAGTAATTTTATTGATTACATTTGTTTCAGGGTTAGATCCATGTGCTAGAGACTTACTTCAATGACAAAAGTTGTGTTTTAAACCCCATGCTGAGTTTTCCCAACTCAAAGCCCAGTATTCCAGGGTCCCTTCTTCCCTTCCTCTCACTCTGAAACCCACACAAAATATGTCATTTTTTAAAAAAATACCTGATTTCTATTGAAGAAAAAAGGAAATCCAGTGAATTTCTGATTATTTCTCTCCTTTATGTTGTAAGTGGGACAGTCTCCTAGTATCTGAAAAATGTTTTACGGTTTCTATTTGGTTTATCTGTGCTTTATCTTTTGTTTTCTGTTGTCTCTCTGCTCAAAATAAGGTTCTACTTCTTTTTTATTTTTGTAATCCCAAATGATGTGCTTATCAATGAAAGCATGCCTCAGTTTTCCTCTTGATATAAGGGTAATGATAATTATCAGTATTAAGTGTTACACAATTTCTCTTCTCTGTATACAGTATTTCTTGAAAGTAAGTTTCACTCAATGCTTCTATGCCTCTAAATGTGACTAATATGTTTGTTTCATTGGAATGAAAATAAGGATAATTATGTTTGCTTGTAATGCATCCTACATAGTGAGATCTCTCTGTCTTTACTAATCTCAGAAATTGTAATCTGTCCTTTGCAATTACTTATGATTTACTTTTTGTCCATGTAATGAGTAAATATTTTTTCTTAGAATTCATGCATTTGTTTTGTACACATATATTTATCTCTCAGTACTGAATCTCCTACAGTACAAGATTTTAAAGAACACAGTGTAAATCTCAGCAGCAGAAAATTTTAGCAAAACATCTGACTATGTAATCCATCTGGTCTGACCACTTCTCATTCATTAGGAGTCTCTTATGATCAACATCTGGTAGGATTAGACTGCCCTGAACAACAAGGATTTAGCTTGCAGTACTTACATGAAGCATTAGTGAACCAAGAGGTCGTCTGAAATATCTGTTAAAGGCAAATTAGTATGACTAATCTAAAAATTATTAAATTTATTTTCTAACTGGCAACGTAAGGATTTAATAAGTGAACTAGGCCTCTGAATGTATAATCTGAAACCTAATCTGGCCTGTCAACTGATGGAAATGCTTGAATGCCACCACATGGGCTAGAACATGGCACTAAGTGCCACATCCACTCTTCCCTTAAACTCCTGCAAGGACGGTGCCTCTGCTTCCCTGGGCAGTCCATTCCCATGTCTGATCACCCTTTCCATGAGGAAGTACTTCCTAATATCCATCCTAAACCTCCCCTGGTGAAGCTTCAGGCTGTGCCCTCTTGTCCTGTCACTAGTTGCCTGGGAGAAGAGCACAGTCCCCACCTGACTACACCCTCCCTTCAGGTAATTGTAGAGAGTGATAAGGTCCCCCCTGAGTCTCCTCTTCTCCAGGCTAAACAACCCCAGCTCCCTCAGCCTATCCCTATAAGACTTTTCCTCTGGTCCCTTCACCAGCCTTGTTGCTCTCCTCTGGACCTGCTCCAGCACCTCAATGTCCTTCTTGCAGTGAGGGGCCCAGAACTGGACACAGCACTCAAGGTGGGGCCCCACAAGTGCTGTGTACAGGGACACAATCACATCCCTACTCCTGCTGGCCACACTATTCCTGATGCAAGCCAGGATACCATTGGCCTTCCAGGCCACCTGGGCACCCTGCTGGCTCATGTTCAACCAGTTGTCAACCAGTGCTCCCAGGTCCCTCTCTGCTGGGCTGCTCTCCAGCCTCTCTTCCCCCAGCCCATAGCCCTGCCTGGGGTTGTTGTGGCGAAAGTGCAGGACCCTGCACTTGGTCTTGTTGAACCTCATACCATCATCCAAATCCAAACCAGAAGACTCTGTAGTTAAATTTATTGGAAAGAAGGAAGAACTTCTGTAGGAAGAAAAGCAGAAGCTTCAGTTCTGTGAGATACTTAGAATATTTGGAAAGAAAGAAAAATAACTTGAGGATTATGAGAAAAAGGTATGGAAATAGGAAAAAAGACTGGAAAACATAGTGGAAATAACCCCACAGGGTCCCACAGAGCAGGCACAAGATAAGATTTGTCAGACTAGTGGTCATAGCATTGAAAGGAGAAAAAACATTAAGTTGCTTCAACATTAGAAGAAACTGTAAAGCCTTAAATTAATATAAATCTCCTAATATCTTGTTGTGATAATGGGAAAGAAACACTTCTCCTTTGGCAAAATCTACGCAGCAGATGCATCTGAAAAGCATCCAACATCTGATTGTGCCAGTGCAGACAAAAGGTTTCCAACTTCTGTAGCACCAAATCTCATGTGCTGTGTCTTTTGGGAGGTTAATGAGCAGTTGAATGAAAAGCTTAAGAGCTCTGAAAGCTGCAGCATAGTGGACTTGTAGAAGATGAGGAAGGGTTGTCTCGATCCAGTAATCGGATACATGGAGATTCTTTGGGATCCCGCCAGGGCAAAGCAAAGATAATCCGATATCAGGTGCCCAAATAGGCTTTTATTTAGGTACAGATCAGCTGGTAAGACTGACAACTATATGTCATAAATGTGTATTTTAAATAATTTCTCTCATGTTAATAATGGTCTCATTTGACTAAACTGTATTTGGTGCATCAGCTGTTTTTTATTCAGATCAGCTGAGTAATGTTAATCTAGTGCCTCTGAGATAAAAGAATGACTAGAAATGGCTCCAGAAAAAAATTGAGAAAATACCAGAAAAGAAAACGTACAACTACACAAATTATTCTTTTAAAGAAGAAGGTAGGTCACTCTGGAGTAGAAGCATATTGACAAGTTATATGCCTTTGGAAAGAACAGTTCTGATAGCTAAGAAAAATGTTTCTTTTTCTAAGTAACATATAATAGTTTTAGTGAACTTTCACACTAAGTAGAAAGATTTTGGACATTAGCTAAACTATGATCAAGAGAGGTCTATTTTCTTTTGTTATCACTGATAGTTTGTTTCAGAAAAGCAGTTTTTCTTTGTATCGAGACGTTCAGTCTAGGAAATAAAGCAATAGCCGGCTCTTATTTTTGCATGGATAAAATGTATTCTCATATATAAGCTTTATTATTATTTCCATTCAAATTAAGAAGTTCCTGAGTTCCTTCCTCTTCTTTACTTGACCATGTCACTATATATCAAATACTTTCAGGTTATTTTGAATGGACTGTGCTTCTCTCTCAATGAGGTCAAGGAAGAGGAGAGTTAGGAGAGAGATTTAAAATGCATAACCATTGTATCAAGCATAGAATAATTTGATTTATAAACTTCTAAATTTTCCTGTTTAATATAATGCATATTTTCTTCCATGTATTGCACTTTTTCTGTTTGCATGAGATACCTGTTTTACACTGTGATTTTCTTCTCCTATTTCTGATACAACAAACAAATAAAAAAGACAGTGCAATTAATATAATAATAATTTTATTAAACAGAAATTGGAGTGCCACTTCCTTTCAGTTTGCAACCACGTTATCTCCAGCTAAAACTGTTTTTGCTCAGGAATATTTTTGCTTAGGAATATTAACATGACACCGTTATTGCAGTCATGTGGCTGGAGTAAAACCAGTGGTGATTAAGAGATAAAACCTTGGAATAGTTATATGAAAAAACCCAAACCCTAAATCTGTAAACTGGGTTGCTTTATATGTTATCTGGGTTCTTTGTGCTATTAGGCAGCTCAAAAATGACAGATTCCTGCCACTGTAAAGGCACAGGTGAGAAAATCTGTTGATAGATGGTTGCTTGTGTCACCTTTAGAGCAAACCGTACCACCTGCTGCCCCTTGCAGCCAGATGCATGCTCTAAGAAAGGAGGAGCATGTAGAGGAGCTCATGAGGCTTTATAAGTCACTAAATGACGTAAGCTAAGCTCTGCTGACTCATGCTAGGACCAGCTGATGGTGGTTTCAAATCAGCTCTCAGAACTGAAGGATTTTCTTGATGAGCCTTTTCCTTTTATACAAGCTCAAACATCACTTTCTACAAGAAAGCTTTGGCTCAGCACCACTGGAAATACACAGGACTTTTCCATTCCCATGATGCAGAGTGGGAGCCAATTGTGAACTTTTTGTCGCACATGCTAAAGCTTGTTATGTAGTACACCTGTTGATAGTAGATTATGGTGGTAATGGAATAGTGTCCTGGTGAGATTTTAGGTAAAATGGAAAAAAAAAACCACCCTGTGGGTGCATATATCATCATCAAGATCATTGCCTGTCATTGCAGTGATAAATATAGTCCCTTTGCTTCCTCCTCACTGAATCTCATTCACCAGTTTGCCTTTTTCTCAACTTCTGACAGGTGAGGAATGATCTGACTGGTGTCCTGTATGGTGAAGACATTGAGATTTCAGATACTGAAAGTTTCTCCAATGATCCTTGCACAAGTGTAAAAAAGCTCAAGGTATGTGCTGCTGTTTGAGGAATAAAAAGAAAATGTTTATTACGTTATGGCATTTGTTTTTTTCTTTCCTAGGAAGACTAATAAAACAAATTTTGTGTAATAATGATATACTGCTACTTTCAGTTGTATAGTAGGGTTCATAAATGGTGTTTTGAGGGTATAATCCTGCTTTTTGAATGACCATGCATTTGTGTAGTTCCTGATGAGGACACAAAGTAAAGCAAGCTGTTGCTGGCTTAGTGTTTGTACCTAAAGCACAAGTCTTAGTGATGTATGCGTGAAAGCACTTGAAAATTTGGAAACAGAATCATTTTAAGGTAAAATACCATGTAGCAAAAGCATTGAGCATTTTTCCATTAGCTTCATTATGTATTCTAGATTGAATTCTTATAAAATTCTTATAATAATCTGCATTATTTTATGTGGTTCACAAGGAAAGAAAAAAAAAGGAAAAATAAATATGATAGCAGAATAATTTACCATACTTCTCTTATAATGATTTGTTAGATTCTTGACATCTCATAACATTAAAAATATGTAGTAGCATTACCATGCAGTGCAACCAACAATAAACTCGATAGAGGAAAAATGAATGTTAAACTTTATATGAACATGAAAATACGACTGAACAGGAAGAAGAAGCACTTTTAAATGGCAAAGATCAAATAGTTGCTGGCATCAAATCCACAGGTCAGACAATCAAAGCCACAGTCCTGCAAATACTTAAGTAAGTGTAAAATAGGCTTAAAAAACCCCTAATTAAGTGACTGGTATAAAAAAGCTAAAGCTAAAACAAGAACATCAACCCATATAAGACCAGGCCTCTACTGAAGCTAACTTGAAATGGTCTGAAGCATGGTAAACTGAGTGTGCTTTATTATTCCCAAAATAATAATAGACATGCAAGACTGAATATTTAAAGTATGAATAGGTAAGGATTACATTTATAGGAAGCCATTTATTTCTGTCCAGTCTAAGCTAGTTTGCCTTTCCTGTCTGGGGATGAAAAGGCACTAGTATGTGTTATCAGTAAAGTCCACTTTTTTTTCAAGTTCTTTAACCTCTGTCATCAGAAAGCTATCTGAAGGCAGGTGATGATGTAAGAACAAGAAAAAAATGCATATAAGCATGTATATTTAGGCTGAAGGCTAGAAGAAGCAATGAGATTCTAGCTCTCTGTCAACAATGCACTGTTCGTTTTACAGGGGAAACTAGAAGACTCTATCAAACAATATATTAAAATTATCTCCTGATTTCTTCTTCAAAACAAGTAACTACAACAATAAATAAACAGTTATCTACACAGATGCTTATTCTTAACAGGAAAATAGGGTTAGTTGTCCGTAAGTACTTATGTCAGGCATACCTTAGCTAACAAATTCTGAAAATGTTAATTCTTTTCTTCAAGATGTAAATCTAATATATGTAAACTGGTATCTACTTACTGTACTTGTGATTAAAATAGACATAAAATACCCTCCCTTTTCCTTAATACAGTTTAAATAATAATAAAAAAAAGATTATGCAATACAAAAAAAATAGAAATATCTGTTATGATTTGCAGAAATATATCTTTCCCAGAAACTTTTACTTTATTGACTCCAGTGTCTTTGAATGACAGCTGGAAAGTAAATTTAGACTTAAGGATATATTTTAAAATAATTTTTTTGTTTAGAGAAAGGGATGTTGGAGGATATGCATTTGTACATCAACTCACTTGTTTAAAACTTCTAAGCATGCACAGGCAAATTATATGAGCAATAACACTTCTGCTTCCAACATTCTTGTATCTTGCATGTAGGACAAAACTTTTGCAACATATGAATTCAAATTCAATGAAACATTTTGCATCTGATTTCCCACATACGATAGTTGTTTTGGATACTGACCAAATAGGATCTGTCATAACTCAATGAAGTTAATTAACTTTTAAAATTCTGGGCCAGGAGCAAGGTTTCATTGCAGCCTCAGTCAAAGTGAGTGATGTGCACTCTAACACAGAAATCAGCAAGTTTTGCCAGCATGTATATTTGGTAGGAGCTGACATTCTCTAGTTCACCTTCACCATCAGTTATTCCATAGCTAAGGTTAGAGGCTACTCTTCAGGGTCTTCAATTCAGGCATTTAGAGGGCAGAACATGCAGATACCTCTGTTGACAAAGTTGACAAAGCTTTGCTTAGATTTATTGATATCATCTTGACTGTCAGATACACAGTAGAGAATATGACAGAGTGTCTGAGCTGTACAATTTAGATATTTCATAAAGAATCTGCCAAGACATTGACTTTTCTTGGCAGATGAGATATTGTAGCAATCCTTCTCTGGGAAGACGCGTAATACAACATTTTGGTGTTATTCATTAGAAATGAGACCGATTAAAATCTGATCACAGAAGGGAAACTCTGCAGGCCAGAAAAAAATAGCTGCCTATTCCAGCATAGTGTGTATCACTCAAAAATTCTGAAAAGGCTAAAGAGTGCCTCATATCTGAGCCTGTTAGAATTGATAGTGGAGGAGACATGTTCTTCATTCCTCAGTGGAGCATCTTAGATGTCTTGATCCTCATGGTCTTATACTACTAGGGTTTATACTTCTCAGCTGCTGGTAGTGCCCAAAATGCTTTATATGTAGTGGATGAATAATATTCTCACCTATAGGAGAGAAAGAAGAAATCAAGACTAGTTAATTTTTGAGGCTGTTCTATAGTCTTAATTTGTAAAGCATGTGCTTATGGACAGTCCGCCACAACTCTGGGTAAATGGAATGTAATTCTTCTCCATTTTCTTGTTTGAACTTTACTCCATATGGGAACATATGTATTGCTTACTGAGGGGCAAAGCTTAAATGCTGATATTGCTACTCTAATCCCTGAGAAGAGTAAATATGACAGCTCACCATCTGGCAAATGGTCTAAACATTGGTCTTTTTATCTAAGTGCCTTTTGGGGAGTTGTCTTCCCTCTGGGATGTTTTTAATCATCTCATAGATCACCTGCCTAGTTCCATGAATTAAAAACTCTTCTCTCAAATATGCTTTAGCTCCATGCAAGCAATTTACAACTCTATGAGAAAGAAAGAGTACTTGACACTTGCTGCGATCCAGTTAGTGACTTCTTTGATCCCTGCAAGAGACTTATGCTGCGTTAAATTGTGTCAGTTCCAAGAGAGTTGGTGTAAAGGAAGGGTATATCCTTGCCAGGAATTCATACTAGTCAATACGCAGTTAACAGTGTAACTGAAAGGGAAAAAAAAATTATGCCGCAGTAAGTATCTCATATCTCTCTTTGCATAAGACCATAATATGGACATATATCTGAACCTGCAAGCACTGACATGAACACAGCTCTGATACATTTTGGTGCAGATTTCACTGTCCATCCAGGTAGAATCTCTGCAAGGGATTTGAGTTGTGTCCAGTTGCATGAATTTGAACTTCCGGTGTCTTTTATTCAGGAAAGAACCAGCAGACCCAAGCCTTGGATCCAATGGATCTAGGCTTAATTACCATGTTGAATTCAGTTCTTCAGGAAGGAATTTTGGAAAAATGCGCAGGGGAATGCAAAAAAGCAGAAAGAGGCTAGGATGGTGTCATTGCATAGAGGAAAAATGTTATGTGTGGAAGAGGAAAAGCTAATGAACAGACATATCTGTTCCTTCTACATATGTTCTAACATACAATTATTCAGTTACATGACTGCATACTAAATTTTCCACTCTTTTTAACTGCAAGTCATAAAAGCCCAAACAGCACATCTCACAGTGTTGTATTGATATCTGCGTGGTTATAAACTGAAGGAATATTCTTATGATTTCCCATATATGACTAAGCAACAAGAACTGTATATTATGTTCTTCATGGTACAACTTTATTAATCAGGAGAGAGAGAGGGGAGAACTGAGAATTTATATTTCTGTCAGAAAATCTTTCCATTTCTTAGCATATTACACATAAAAATACATGAAAAATAGCATTATTTGTTACAACTCAGAATTCAACTTCAATGGCATAATACTTTAAATGGAGTACTCATTACTTATTCTTTAAATAGGTGGTAATAGAACATTTATTTTGATCTTCTTCAGTCAATTTCTGGTTTGATACCATCCACATCTTTTAGTGAAGACAGGCATGCTAATGTCCTTACTGTACTGACTACTACAAAACCAGGAATTTATGTGTTAACATGGAAACTCATTAATTTAGGCAAAAGAACATTTGAGTATTTCGTCTTGGCTCAATCATACATCCTAGGATTACAGAACGTCAGTGGTCTTCAAGTTCCAGAGCCATAGCTGGTCTTTGAACTTGAGCCATGAAGCTTTCTTGTTCATCAGGGTTTCTCCAGAACTTGGTTGGGATGTGGTTCTCACATTTAGCAGATTTCCTGTTCTGGCATCAGAAGCTCAGCTTGTGAAGGAAGTGAAGGTTCCTGCCTAACAGAAGACCCAGCTTCCCTGAGATTTTCAGTTAGATATTGAAACGGTCAGATATTCTGAACTGGGACCTGCCGGCAGCTGGAAAAATCAGCAAATACACCCATTTGCTTGGGTGCCTGAACAAGAGCAGAGGATGTTTGAAAATAAGATTTTCTGCCAGTATTAGAATAGGGCTCTCCTGTGCCTTAAGTAAAATATTTCAAGATTAATTCATTGAGCACCTGTTTACTTGCATGCCTGTAGACAAAAAGGAAGTGTAGAGCCACATACTCATGTGGCTGAATGTGCAAGATTTGAATCTGAGTACTATTGCAAATCACACAGGGATTTTAGTATAAAACAATCCTTGCAGATGGTAAGACTGTTGAAAAGGTATAGCATCTTTCTAGGGAAAAAACCCCAACAAACAGAACAATGAACAAACCCCAAACAAACCAAACCAGGATTAAGTATACAGTTTTTGTAGTAAAAACTGTGGGAAATGTATTCAGGTTTATGTGATAATTAGGTGGAAGTAAGGTTTTAAGGCTTCGGACCATATCCCACAGGCACTGCACCTTCAGTTTGAAGGCTGTCACAGAGCCAGTGGGCAGCGTTGTACATGCACTGGAGAATTATTCCCTACCCCCAGCCTGCAGTTGCTGGTGCTCTGAAACCATGAAGCAGCACACGTTCTGTATTTTTTAAGTTGGTTCTCAACATGATAGATAATGAAAAGGAATTTATTCGATTTGACGTTTAATAATTGAGTGCTGTGTCATTTATTTTTTAACCAAACTTTGCTACTCTTTTTTTCAAATGCATTTTTATGTTCAGAGAGGTCAAGCAATTCAGGCTTGGAGTTCCAAGAGTGACCAGAATTATTTTTAAAATGTGAAAAATAGGGATAATAGGTGAGGGTTTCTTTTGCTGCGTAATTCCTAAATCTATTTATTGTCTTTGCAAAAACTGTAATACTACTGCTGTAATTTGTGTAATATGTTTGTTTAGTTTCATTTGACCTCTTTAAGTTTATTTTAAAAGATTCTAATCTACTTCAGTAAGATTTACGTCACTTTATCAATCTGTGGCAGAACATAAAAGTAAAGGGGAGCAGGCTTATTCAAAATGCACAGGTTCAGAATGAGCAAAGGATATTACTTACTGGCTGACTTTAACCATGCTATTAGTGATGCTGATTTCATGCATTTAATCACGGAAGCATTTTAGTATATTTCTGTACTGTCCATCATTATATTTTCTGTTGAATGGGAGGAAACAAATACTGAAATTACCTAAACTTAAAATCTTTGATTAATGGATTTAATTAAAACTGGAATGTTGTTCACCACTCAAATTCACACCAAATCATCTGTTTCTTTTTCCCTTGGAGACAGAAAGAGCTACTATTAATTCTAACCAAGTGTTTTATAAAATAAATGAAAAATTAGATTTGCTTAAGCTTTTGCTGAGAACCCAGCTTTTGTGTGAAATGAAAGGTAATATTGTCATAAAAAGCTATCTGTTCTGTGTTTTATAGATGTTAGCAGCAATTTTTCACACAAGAAAAAAGCTAGCCCAGTTCCTGAAATATTTTCCTGTGTATGCACCCAAATTTAGGAATGTTTTCTTAATCAGTTTCTAAGTATGAAAATGAAATTATTTATTTTTACTTCAGTCATAGATTCTTAATGTGTGATGATTTTTTTTTAATGTGTTGAGGGGGGGAGGAGGAGGAGAGGAGGGACTGACAATGTTTTATAGTGACTGTACAGAAGATGTTGTGTGAGTAAAACCTTTAAAAATTAAGAAAGTGGGCACACTATTCACGAATTGTATCTCTTTACAGCATTAGTTCATGGAAGCAGTGAAAAGTTATCTTTACAGCTGGTTTTAATATGCAAAACTTTAAAAGAAGAAATCTTGCAAGGGATCAAAAGAATATTTGATAGTTTATTGTTATTAAATAGTAATATTTGACAAGATAAACATTACATTTTTATTCTAATTAGTGCAGTTGCTTAACAATTTTCTCCAAACACCTCAGCTGCTGTCTCTTGCATGATTTCAAACTTAAAGAAAATGGAATAGTTCGGATTTAAGTTTGCTGTCTGCAGCTGTAATCTGTGCAAACTCTCTGCACAATTTGAATGGCTATCTGAAGTGGTTTCTGTAAAGTCTGTGATTGTATGTAACTGCCACATATCTCATTCAATCTGCAGGGTAATGACGTTCGGATAATCCTTGGCCAGTTTGATGAGGAAATGGCTGTTAAAGTTTTCTGCTGCGTAAGTAGATCTATTTAATTGCATATCAGAATAAAGAATGCATTACATTTAGATGAAAAAAAAACATTTTAGCATAAGCATTTCTTCACAGGGTTCATCTCTGTCGAGGTTTATATCCTCAAGAGAGGTTACACATGGTTAGCTCCGATTTACTTTCAATAAAATACTTCATTCTTTACTTCAGTGGAATTTAGGCGTGGACTGCATGATTAGCTGCTTATTGCTGTCCTGTCATGGAATTAAATGCCAAAATGAGCTTGAGCACTTCTCTTCATGTCAGATACGGGGAAACACTTGTATGTGTAGCAGCAGATACAGAGAACTGTAGGATTTTAATCTTGTCCAAGGGTAGTGTTCTGCTGGCAATGTCTGCTCATATGTGGTTTTGCATGTTTTTCTTTGAAAGAATTTTAAGCAGTTCCTATACATGCTAACTGAGCAACCCTAATAATTTCTGCTACTCAAAATGTTGCTAATTGTACAGTTGTCTGTTACTGCTGTACATTTTACGTGTTTTATGTGAGAGCAAGTACTTGTTTGTAAAAAAAATAATGTTTAAAGTAAAAGAAGTGTGGTAAGTTCAGCATCGATAAAATTCCCTCTCCTTGCTATTTATCTCACACATTTTGATTGCCATCAAATGTAGTAGGGTTAAAATGTGGCTTTTTATTTGTAGCCGCTAAAAAAAAACAACAAAAAACCACCCCAAACAAACAGGCAGCTTTTAGTGGCCGAAATTTTCTATTTATATTGAATTCTTAGTCTGAATAAAAAGATTCTTTCTGTATGAGCCAAGAACACAACAAATACAGTAGAAAAGCAATAATGATAACATTTACATTTCAAAGGGCATTTTTTAGTGTTCACTTAGAGAGACCTATCAAGTTACCTATCCAAGCAGAGAAAGGAAAGGCAGAAGTTCAAAATCTGAGTGCTGCAGGTTCTTCAGGCACATATTGGTTCATACTCAGCAGCTGTCCCAGTTGCTGGCAAAATATGGAAAGGAGATTGTAGAGTATTTTTAGAAGGAAAAAAATATCTTAGCATCCAGAAAAAAATAGAAAACATTAATTTCTTTTTATCCTTCTCATCTTTGATCATTCTTTGTACATAGCCCTTTTTGTTCCAGCATTTAAATTGGATTGTTGGAGATAATATCCCATTTTTTCCATGCCTGAAAGAAGGAATGGTCCTTCTGCAGCCCAGCTCCTCCTCAGTTCTCTTGTGGTTGGGCTGCTTTTCCTCAGGTGAGAGATCCTGGTCAGAACTGTCTTCCAAGCCAATGTTAGACAAGACACTGGCCTCACTCATGCCACTGCCCATACTATCTGGTTGCCTTCCTCTGCAATTCTTTTCCAAGTCTATGTGCATGTGAGGCCACTGAAGAAATGTCCCAGATGGGATGGATGACAGACAATGAGTATTTGCAGCAATCAAAATTTATTCCATACAACATTGGGGGTTTTAATTATTCTGAGCAAGAGGCATGAGTACAGTAAAAATGTAGGGAACCTGGGAGATAAGAACAGAAGTAGGATGCAAAGGGTATATTAGTAGTGAATTTACTACTTATAATTAAATCAGACAACAAAGGTTAACTGCTAAAATGCTAGCAACTTACTTATTATCAAATCACATACTAGGCCTAAAATATCAACCATCATCTTTAAAGGATCTTACAATGCTAATTCAATAATGAAGATTAATTGATGTTAAGTTTGCTAATAAAGACATTGAATGAGTAATATTTCTCACCCATGTCAGGCCACAGCTGGGTGTCCTTGGTCGGACTGCAACTCCCGAGAATCAGTCTCTCTGCCAGGCATCCCTGCTGGAGGAGAGAAGGTCCAGCAACTTCCCAGGGAAAGTGTATGGAGATCTTTTTTTAAATAAAAAATGGCACCAGGCTGTTATAGAATAAAGTGGATTGACTGCTGTCATTAAACCATTAGCCATACCTCCGACATCTCTCACTGTTGAATAAAAGGAAAGCAGTAGGAAAAAAACATGAAGGCCTTGTTCTCACCAAGCAAACTTTGTTGTTTCTCTGTTTGTTATTACTTTATCTCCATTTCAGGCCTCGCTGTGGCTGGGCTGAGCTTCGTGTTCTTCAACACCGGAGAGCAGCTGGTGTCATGCACATCCGCTTGGCCCTCTGCTCATACCTTTCCAGGTTGTTACCAGCTCAGTTTGCTGGGCCTTTTCCCTTCTCGTGGGAAGGCCTGTGCCTGCAAAACTGACAGACAAAAACCACTTGAATAAAAAAAAAAGGGGCTGAGGCAGGCATATTGAGAAATGGAGAACCCTGCTACAAGAAATCCTAGAAGTCCTCAGAGGAGCAGGGTGTCCTCTTACCTGCACTTCTCTTGTCTGAAGTCCTTCAGGTGGGGGCTGTCTCTTTCATCGCACGAAATTGTGCTGCAGCTTTCTGCAGCAAGGCTTTGGAACAAACATGGGAAGCGTGCATAACCCAGAGCAGCTTAAAGGGTGATGACTGCTTCTAAAGGACATTAGTGTCAAAAAATAAGGGGGATTTTTCTGGAGCCTGGAGAAATCTGAGAGATCGTGTGTTTAGGCTCATATAAATATATGAGAGCAGGAGACTGAATGCAGGAGAGGGCAGTTCAAAGTAGGTCATTTCTGTATTAATGATCTACAATAATCAGTAATCTTGTTATTAGTCATAAAATATATTGTTGACTCATATACTCCTACAGCTACACATCTGCCAGCACATTATTTAGATCTGTCCAATTTTTAAACCCCCTTCCCCGAGTGTATCTTCAGACAGATCTCCTGCTATATTTTGCAAGGTGGCTGATGTCAGTCAGAGAAAGGCTTTGGGATTTGTTAAAAGGAAGGTGCTGTTGTACTAGCACAAGATGTTTATTTTTTTTCTGATTGTGGTTGTAACTTGAATATAATTTGCTAATGATTTACGTAGGTGGGAAAATCTTTGAAGCCTGCCTCAGTTTTCTGTCTGGATACAACAATCATATGCTGTGAGGTTTTCTCAGGACATCCATTGGAGATTATATGCTCATTTTCATTCTGCCTGGCTATTTCCTCCCTTCCCTCCACTCCTTCCCCCTGCCTCCAACCACACACACACATAGAAGATGCAGAGCACATAAAGATAAGTGGACTAAAAGACTGTCAATTCAGTGGCAAACTTTTAAAATATGACAGGATTAATTCAAGCCAAAGGGAATGTTAGCAGGTGTTTTCTAGGATAATTTAAACAAGCTTAGCTATTCACTTAACACTAGTGTCAAAAAGCAGTTAGCAATTTTAATTCTATGGGAAATCTTAGCTTTCTAATGTTGTTTTCACCTTAGTGGGATGAATGTGATATTTTTCATGGAATAGAAATCAGTATATTTTGCTCAAAAGTTTACACTTAGGTAATCAAAATGGTCAGCTGTACTGAATAGTCATGATCTTTTTTTTTTTTTTTCATTTGAAATTGGATTAACATGAAATTGCATCTTCCCAATAAAAATTTCAGTTGTGCAGAAAATTTTATTCATAAAAGATTGTCATGGGGATTTTTCTAACATACTATCTTTAAGCCATAGACATAATGCTGTATAGTCATGCCCACATCAAGACTGAAGCCTAGTTGATCCAATTATCTGTCTAAAGACAATTAAAGAAGATTACTATTATGTATAGGTCACTGCATGACTTTCTTTTAGTAAACATTTAATAATAAGTAAGGCCAGGCTTAATCAGCATGGATGATACAAAAGGACTGGACTCTGTTCTCCTTAAGGTGATAGAGCTTTACTGCTGAGTCTCTGTTTAGGAATTAAAGGCACTGTTAATTTTTAATGAGAAACAGATGGAGGTTTATTGAGATTCAGAAGTCTATAGGCATTCTTGAGGGGTCAGATATGGGATGTGTCCATGCTGACGTAATGGAAACTTGATGGAAATTCAGTGGGGGTAAGCTTTTGCAGGTCCGTTTAAACAAACTACTAGTAATTATTTACTACACACAGAAAGATCTCTTACAGAAATTTCTTTGCCGTAAAGAAGCATCTCTGTGGATTCAAACAAAAAATGAAAAGTTAAAAAAAATTTAAATTTAGAATTCAGTCTTACAAGGATGGAAAATGTTCAGGACATTTTCCTGGCTGCTTGACAGCAACTCTGGGCTTTGCAGCCCTTTGTGAACTACTAGGAAACACATATGACTGCTTTATGCTGTTCTAATGCTATAAATCTCTTCTAAACCTTCACCTTACTCTTGTGTGCCAACAAATCTTGTTTGAAACTAAAACCTGTAAGTGGTGGTCTGTGTGCATTCAAGTGGTTCAAGAAAGTCTGGCAAATTTCAAGGAACTGTACCTTTTAAGCAGAAGAATAATCGCCACTTAGTAGAATTGACAGGGAGGAAATGGTGGCACAAAACATGATTTTTAAATAAGTCTTCTGTAGTCTAAATACTGAACACTAACAAGTGTGCTGTCACTAGAAACAATGACTGCATGGTCTTGGTGCTAAGCTTTGGAAGAGCCAATTTTGTTCCTTAATTTGCTTTCCCCAGACTATCCTTCAAGACCTACCATTCCACCAGAACTCAAGTGAAGAGCTGACAGCTCTTAAAGTGTTTGTTGCTTTTTTTTAAAACCGAATTCTTGCAGGATTGTGAAAGTTTCCATGCAGCCTTGTTGGGAATGATCCCTTGTTTCCAGGATGGCATTTCTGGCTCTTTTAAAATTTTAAATTTTCAGCCCGTATCCTAGGACATTTACAGACCATGCAGGAAACAGGCTCAAGTGCTTATGCAAACAGAAAATTTCCAAGAGCCCAAATTTCAGAATATTCCACAGCCAATACTTTCTTGCAACACACAAACTGATATTTCAATCAGTTTAGAGCAGGGAGAAACTAGAGAAGATTGTCCTTCCCTAAAAGCACTATTCTGTGTCAATCTGTGTTCTCAGCGATTTAAAAAACTGACAAGTAACAGCCACTATATTACTGAAAGGTATTGGATGCCCTCCTTGCGTAATGGAAACCCTTTTAGACATCAGAAAATATCACAGGATGGGATTGCTGTTTTCCTCACAGGTGAATTTGGGATGTGGTGTTGAAATAGCTGTAGCAGGAGTGGAGATGGGTAGAAGAGCAAAAGCAGATGTGTTTCTGGAAGGGTAGAATTAATAAGCAAGAGGAATTCCACAATCCACATGAATTACTTGTCCAAGTAAGATGTGAGATACAAGACACTGGGTTTCAGACAGGAGCCCTTTCAAGCAGTGTTGTAGACAAATGCATGAAATTCTATTTTGGCTGAACAAAAGCTTCTGCAACGAGGGGCCATACAAATCTGCTTTTTGCACAATACATTTATGAACTGAGTTGGCACAATTACAATAGCCTTCACAGATTTAAAGCCCAATTTGAATGTAGGTATTAACATATTTAGGAGGCTGTCCTATTTCATATGTTTTGCTATTCATTTTTATTTATCTGATAAATGTATGATCTTTGGGATATTTTGGGATATTTTTCAGAGCTGTTATGTTCTTAATGACTAATATGTCTTTGCATTCTCATAATTTCCTCCTTCTTTAACATTTTCTCTGAAGATGTAGCAGTTTTTCAGTTAAGAGCTCTAAAGTTGCATCATATATTTCCAAAACCTGGAATTTTTATCTTCTAAGTATGCCTTGTGTCTCCAGTATTGCTTATATTAGGAGCCGAAGAAGCACGAAACCTGCTGGTTTGAAATGGAGTCTGATTGAAATGTCAAAAGAAAAATATCTAGTTTCAAGCCAGTGAGGGAGACATCTGAGATAAAATTTGCTAATTTTATCTTAGAACACTCTCCACAATGGAATAGAATACCCATTGAGAATAGATCAGCTTTTAGGCACAACAGCATATGTGCCTGATTAATGAAGTATTTCCATTTCCTCTTATATGTGTCTGCTCTGTGTTGAAAGGAGATAATCATCATCTCAGTATCTTGGAGTACAGTGGGCTGTAATCAGTATTCAAACAATACAGAATTTCACCTTAAGAAATTTCTTGCTGGAAAAAAAAAGATAAATCACTGAGATTTGCTTGCTTTATCAATTTGCTGTTGATTCCTTTTTCTCAGAAGAAACCACTTGCTTCATGCCCCTGTGGTCTCCGTTTTAGCTCAGGCCTGTCATTTATATTTGCAACATTATAATTTGATGGTGCCTAGGATCTAAGTTTTCTTGTTAAGTTTTATTCTGCTTTATGTGGTCTCTCAGATGATATCAGGATAATAAATTAGTTTAAACATGGTAGCATAGTGGTCCTTCCACTCATGTAACAGTCAGGTTTTAGAGAATTTTCTGTGTAAATGCTTTGCCTTCTAACACCGTTCCTCTTTATCTCCCCTAGTTTTGCAATCCAGTATTTTATTTTCCTGTTTGTTTGGGGGTCTTTTAATAAAGGGCCTATTGATAGCAAAATAGGTTTTAGGAAATTATTTTCATGTCATGTGAATTTCAAAGATGGGAATCTTCAAGAAAGGAGTCTTCATTATTAGCAAGTGATTATTCTAAACCATTCAAAATACTTGTGTATCTTTCAATTATGCCATAATTTTATTAATAATGGAAAATACATGAACAAAGAACAATTATGTTCAGTATGTCTACTATAATGTTTATCAGCTTTAATATTTTTCTTCCTTTGTAGGCTTATGATGAAGAAATGTATGGCAGCAAATATCAGTGGATTATTCCTGGGTGGTATGAAAACCTTTGGTGGGAATCCTGGATTAATTCCTCACAATGTCTCAGCAAGAATCTTCTTGCAGCCATGGAAGGTTATATCGGAGTGGACTTTGAGCCTCTCAGCTCAAAAAGTAAAAAGACCATATCAGGAAGGGTTAGTATTTTTTCCTCCAACTATTTTATTGAAATCAATGTATCAGTTGTCTCACCAGTGTCTTGACACAGCAAAGTACTGAGGACAGAGATGGATTCTTCTAGAAGGAGAGCTGGCAGTCATCACAAACTCAAAGAATCACCTTTAAGACCATCAAGTCCCAACTGTTAACTAGCATTGCCAAATCCCTCCTTAAACCATGTCCCTAAGCACCACACCTACATGTCTTTAAGTTACCTCCAGGGATGGTGATTCATGGTTAGTCTCATCTTTCTACTGGTTTGCAATTTTACAATGTTTAGAAATCAGTTCCAGTTCTCTACAGGGTAAGGATGCAGAGAAGTCCCTTGCCACAAATCTGTCCTGTTCCTTCCTTAAGAATATTACAGTTAAATGTACAGTAAATCTTTAATTACAGTGTACAATACCACATGCTGCGTCTTGTCAAGTTAAATAATTCAGCACAGAATCAGAGAACTTTTATATTTAAACCTAATCCTGCAATTGGCTAATTTCATTGGTGATGTATGCCTCTCAGAACTAGGGGAGTGTGGGGTGTGGGTCTTCTTTTGAATATGTAAATATGTGGTATTTCCAAAAAGTATATAACATTTCTAGAATTGTTTGGATTGGGTTGGAAGGGACCCTAGAGATCGTCTACATCCAACTCCCCTGCATGGGCAGGGACACCTCCCACTTGCCCAGGTTGCTCAAAGCCGTGTCCAACCTGGCCTTGAATACTTCCAGGAAGGAGGCATCCACAACTAACTTCTCTTAGCAACCTGTTCCATTTTGTCACCCCCCTCACACTGAAGAACTTCTTCCTAATGTCTAATCTAAATCCGCCCTCTTTCAGCTTGAAACCATTACCCCTCATCCTATCACTACATGCCCTTGTAAAAAGTCCCTCCCCAGCTTTCCTGTAGCTCCTTCAGGTACTGGAAGGCTGCTATAAGGTCTCCCCAGAGCCTTCTCTTCTCCAGACTGAACAACCCCAACTCCCTCCGCCTGTCTTCACAGGAGAGGTGCTCTAGCCCTCTGATCATCTTTGTGACCCCCCCTCTGGACTTACTCCAACAGTCCCATGTCCTTCTTGTGTTGGGGGCTCCAGAACCAGGCACAGTACTCCAGGTGGGGTCTCATGAGAGCAGAATAGAGGGGGAGAACCGCTTCCCTTGACCTGCTGGCCACACTTCTTTTGATGCAGCCCAGGTCACGGCTGGCTTTCTGGGCTGCAAGCGCACATTGCTGGCTCATGTTGAACTTCCCATCAACCATCCCCCCAAGTCATTTTCCTCAGAGCTGTTCTCAATCCATTCCCCACCCAACCTGTAATTGTGCTTGAGATTGGCCCATCTGAGGTGTAGGACCCTGCACTTGGCCTTCCTGACCTTTGTGAGGTTGGCATAGGCCCATTTAATCATAGAACAAATTCATGTGAACTCTGATCAGTGAATAAACATGCCTGATTTTGCTGCTTTTCGTCTTTTTTTCATCTGTCTGTCGTGCCTTGCTGAGAGAGCACAAAAGGCAACTTGACATACAGGCAACTCATCATAAGTTGGCACACCATAAAGAGCGTAGTAAACTTGTAAAACGTAGACAAATTGCCACCCAGATAATTTCATATTAAGCAAATTGTTGATCAAATAAAGGTTATCAGATTTGCATTAGCCTATAAAGTGTAATCAGACCACTAATTTGCAGGGATGCAGATTTGTTCTCTGATCTACTGTTACAGCTCACCAGTGTGCTGGTACCTTTGGTTGAACTGAAGCCTTTTGTTCAATAATAAGTTTTCCTTCATAAAGAGAAGCAGAATAACTGATTTTCAGTCTCTCTGGCCCCTAAGTTACTATCAGTCTTGTAAGTCAGGCAGCACACGTTTCAGCACTTTTTTGTAATTTTGATTTCTTTCTTGATTTTTGCTTTGGTGGCCTTTCTATATTAGCCACACAAGTCTCTAAATTGAAGGGTGCAGTTCAAGGTGTAGTTTTGGATGCAAATATGTAAAATGTTAAATATGGAAATAAACCTGATTTTTTTTCTCGTCTGCAGACTCCACAGCAGTATGAAAATGAATACAATGCTAAGCGTGGTGATGGGCAATCCAGCAAATTTCATGGTTATGCTTATGATGGAATATGGGTGATTGCCAAGACCTTGCAGCAGGCAATGAAATATCTGAATGCCACCAACAAGCACCAAAAAATTGAAGATTTTAACTATACAAATCACAAACTTGGCAAAATTTTTCTGGATGCCATGAATGAAACCAACTTCTTTGGAGTAACGGTAAGTGCTAAACAGATACTTGTGGAGAGGAGGAGGTTTGTGATTTTGTGTCAGTAGCTGAAGCAAGCATTAAATTTTAAATTCTCTTAAAAAAGAAACACAGTTGTGTGTTTCTTCTATCTTCAGAGCTTCCACAGTTTTGCTTAATTTTAAAAATTAATGTTCTTATTGCCTTGAGTCTCTTGCTCATTACCTGTCTTCTGATGCCAAGTGATGACACTGTACAATCCCTCAGTTATCACATTTTTAAGCATGGATATAATCTGAATTAAGAACTGAGAGTGGTCTCAGGGGAACCACAAGTGTTGCAAGCTGCAGTAACCTTTTAAGTCACTGTTTTAGCAGTTGAGGAGTAGCTTGAATGGCATCTGAAAATACTTCCCATTGCTCTCCATAATTGTTTTTTTTATAATAGGTTATAGTACACCAGTGTCTCCAATTCCAATGCTTTAAATCCTAAATATTCTTATAACATAATTCAGTTGCCATTCAAGTGTATTTAAAATTTGTTTTGTTTTGTTTCAGTCAAGTTTGAAGCATGTTGACTATGACTTAAGAACTGGTCACATGTAGTAATAATGTCATTCTAGTTTCTATTGAAAATTCATAGTAATATTTTTGTTTCAGTGACATCGCTTCTAGTTTCTAGAAGAGTAAGATGGGCAATAGGAATGTGGACCTAAGACTTCTTAATTGCTTAATTGCATTTGAGGCAATATCAGTCAGAAGTTAATGGTGCATGTGTGTTCAGGAGCGTGCAGAGCCATATTCCTTCACCAAGAGATGTGAGGAGACTCCACAACTCTTCTTCAGTTTCCAGTAGTAGAAAACAAGGAAGTTACTGGAACATCATTAGGCAGTGTAGTTGGGTTGCAACATGACTAGGTAAGGAAATCAGGGTTTAAAGAAATGTGTATTTTAGTGGTGCACAGAAGGAATCCTTTCAAGCACCTCCTTGCAGCAAGAGCATGCAGAAGGTTGACAACATTTCAACCATTGCTTGTCAGAGTCTGTCTGCAATCACTTTAAATTGTCTTAGGTATCAGTTAACCTCAAACACATGTTGAAGTAGCGGAAGGTTGTCATACATGTCATGAATTGGTTCAAGAAGGAAATGCCTATTTATAGACATCAACAATAAGTTCAAGCTCAACTTTTTGGCATTTTTGTTAATTGCTGAAGAAGCCCATCTTTGGTATCACATTGCAATTGAAAGTGATTTAGGATTTGTGAGTAAAAAACAATCATATGTCAAGAGACTATTAGAATCTATTTGCCTGTACAATATGAAGTTTTCTTTCTTTTTACACAGAATTTGATTGATGGTTTCAGGGAAAGAATTGTGCAGTCGTGGGGTATCCCAAATATATCCATAGCAGAACTGGATCTTTGATAAAATTTACAATCAGTAGCAGCTATAAACCAGACACTGCAGGGACTCAGACATCTTTGTCCTGAGTGATTCCAAGTACAGAATCTCGCAATGTGGGTGAAATTGTATATTGCTATGCAGGTCCTTTTTTAAAAAACAAATTATTTCCCTGTCTTAGCCTTTTTGCCTGCTGGTTACTCTTGACAGCCAATTATGGTAAAATTGATGGATTTCATTAGCACTGCTTAATGGCCCTGCACTGCTCCATCCCACCAAAAAAAAATCCAAGACCTCTAGGATGAAGAAGGCTCTTTTTTATTAGTTTCAGAGATACCAGAAGAAACTCATATATGAACTATGTCCCTTTAGGGAGGGAATGAATCAAAGCTTCACCAACCTTATTCAGCTGTGTTTACTTACTTTATTCCCTGAGATATAATGCTTTTTAAAGAGATTACAATTGAATGGTTAAGGTTGGAAGGAACTTTAAAGATCATCAGGATCCAACCTCCATACTATAAGCAGGGACACCAGGCTGCACAAAGCCTCATCCAACCTGTCCTTGAACACCTCCAGGGAGGGGGCATCCACAACCTCCCTGTGCAACCAATTCCAGTGCCTTACTACCCTCATGGTGAAGAATTTCTTCCTAATATCTAACCTAATTCTACCCTCTTTCAGTTTAACACCATCACCCCTTATCCTATCACTACCCTCTCTGTCTTCTCTAGGCTGAATAGCTCCAACTCTCTCAGCCTGTCTTCATAGCAGAGGTGCTTCAGGCCTCTGATCATCTTCATGGCCCTTCTCTGGACCCTCTCCAACAGCTCCATGTCTTTCTTGTGCTGAGGGCCCCAGAGCTGCACACAGTATTCCAGGTGGGGTCTCACCAGAGCAGAGCAGAGGGGCAGAATCACCTCCCTGGCCCTGCTGGCCACACTTCTTTTGATGCAGCCCAGGATGCAGTTGCTCTCTGGGCTCCAGCACACACTGGCAGCTCATGTTGAGCTTCTCTTCTAATACAACCTCCAAGTCTTTCTCCTCAGGACTGCTCTCACTCAATTCTCTCCCCAGCCTGTATCTGTGCCTGGGGTTGCGCTGACCCAGGAGCAGGACCTTGCACTTGGCCTTGCTGCACCTCATGAGGTTGGCATTGGCCCACCTCTCCAGGCTGTCTATGGTGCTTTGTAAAATGTTTCTCTTTAAGATTGATCTACTGAGTCATCATGACAATGTACAGCCCTGGTAACTCCGGTCATCATATTTCTTGTTCCTATAATACTGTTGTGGTTTGAGACAACACGACAACAAAGAAACAGCCCCAAAGGACAAGGAGGGATCTTCACTGATTAAGGTCCTGGACAAAACAGACTCGACTTGGGGAAAAAATAGTAATTTCACACTAATCAAACACACACAGGGCAGGGCTTGCATGTGTTACCCCACCCCTCCCTTCTTCCCAGGCCCAAATCCTTCTGTTCCTGGTTTCTCTCCCTCCTTCCCCCCAGCAGCACAGGGGGACAGGGGATGGGGTTTGGAGTCACTTCACAGGCTGGTGGTTCCTGCTTCTCCTTCCTCCTCAGGAAGAAGGATTCCTTACAGTCCTTCCCTGCTTCCCCACGGGGTCCCTCCCATGGGATAGAGTCCTCCACAAACCTCTCCTTCCTGAGTCCTTCCCACCAGGCCCGGAGCTGCTCCAGCCTGGGCTTCCCACAGAGTCACGGGGGCTTTGGGAACA